ACTAATAACTATATTTGTGAAAGTGTGTGCCTCATGTCTTAATATTGCCATTTTAGATAGTCAATTTCTGATTTGCCTACATGAGGAGGAATGTGGCATCAGGACTGGAGGAAGACTCACTCATCAACAACCTGCGTTATGCAGATGACACAATCTTGCTTGTCAAAATTGAGGAGGACCTGAAGCATTCGCTGAAGTAGAAGATTAAAGACTGTGGTCTTCAATAGGGATTGAAGCTCAACATCAAGAAAACAAAGTTTCTCACCACTGGGACAACTAGCAGCACCATGATAGATGGAGAAGAGATTGAGATTGTTAACAATTCCAACCTGCTCACATCCACAATCAACACTCTTGGCACCAGGAGTCAGGAAATTAAAAGACAAATTATATTAGGGAAATATGCTGTCAGGGACCTCTCCAGAGTGCTGAAGAGCAATGATATTAATCTAGAGACTAAGGTATACCTGATTTAAGCCAAGGTTTTTGCAATTACTTGTTATGCATTAGAGAGCTGTACAATGACTAAGATAATAGAAGAATTGATGCCTTTGAGTTGTGGTGCTGGACAAAAGAATATGGAACATACCGTGGGCTGTCAAAAGAACAAACAGATCTGCTCTGGAGAGGGTGAAACCAAGTTGCTCCTTGGCAGCAAGAATTTTGAAGGTCCATCTCACATACTTAGGGATGTTGCTAGGAGGGACCAGACATTGGAGAAGAACATCATACTTGGAAGGGTGGTGGGGCAGTGCAGGAAAGGAAGACCCTGGATGAGATGAATTGACACAGTAACGGGGGTAAAGGAAGTATGTGTGTCGGAGAAAGAGAGACTGACTCAGGATAGGGCAGAGTTCAGAGCTATTATGCATAGGTTCACTATGAGTCATATATGACATGACTGTACATAACATCATCAAACTAGTACTCTGAGGGATTAAGTATGTCCTTTTGCAGAGAATCTTCTGGTCCGTTTGGAAACTTTGAGCATCTGCATCCACACACAAAGTCTAGTCCAGAGAAAGCCATCAGGCTGCAGCAGTCAACACTAGCTTACAGCATAGATCATCTTCTTTTCATCTGCTGGGTTCTGGTCAACTCATTTCCAGCCATCTGTGGTTAGGTCAAAATGGGCATCAGCTACAAACTCAGGAGTCCACACTTCTCCCTGGGTTCCAGACTGGTTGGTCCCTTTGCTAAGACTTAACTCCGATGTGGGGCCAAGTCAACAAGCCAGGGGTCCTCATAAATCCTCGCTCCTCAAGACAGTAGCCCTTTTTCCACTTAGCCATACATCTGTGAATGCTTGGCGGACAGAGCTGAAGATATAAGTCCAAGCTCAGCCTGTCTCTTCATCATTGTATGCCTCCTGGTTCTACTCCAGTGGATCCAGGGGATCGTGACGTGTGAGCATACCTGCCAACTCACTTTAAGTTCAAATCCCAGAAGTAGGCTCTGATGGGCATCGACTTTACCCTGCCTCTAAGGCCAGACAGTTTGTTCTAGTTTTTAAAAGCCAGTCTCTCTCTCTCTTTTTTTTTTAAAAAAAAAGTACAACCAGGAGAGGATAAAAATCAACAAATGGGACCTCTTTAATATCAAATACCTATCTGCATCAAAAACTTTCTCCAAAAGGGTGAAAAGGAGGCTCACAGAGTGGGAAAAAATATTTGGTAACAACATTTCAGCCAATAGTCTCATAACTAAAGTTTAGAGGATACTACTGGGTCTCCTGAAGAAAAAGATTGAAAACCCAACTACCAAATGGGCAAAAGACATGAAAAGACTCATCACAAAGGAGGACATTCAGATGGCTAGCAAATACATGAAAGATGTTCAAAATCACTAGCAGTTAGAGATGCAAATCAAAACAAAAATGAGATACCATCTTACACCAATAGCACTAGCAAAATTTAACAACACAGCAAACAATAAATGTTGGAGAGGATGCAGAGAGATTAGAACTCTTATGCACTGTTGGTGGGACTGTAAAATATTACAACTCTTCTGGAAGGCAGTCTGGCATTTCCTCAAAAAAAGCTGAATAGAGAAACGTCTTATGGCCCAGCTATTCCACTGCTAGGATTATATCCCAAGGAATTCAGAACTGAGACATGAATGATGATATGTATCCTTATGCTCATAGCAGTGTTATTCACAATAGCAAGAAAATGGAAACAGCCCAGATGTCCATCAACAAATGAATGGATCAAGAAATTGTGGTACATTCACAATGGAATACTATGCAGCACTAAGGAACAATGATTTTGTAAAAGACTACGTAACATGGGAGAGCCATGACAGCATTATATTGGGTGAAATAATTCACTCACATAAGGACAAATACTACATAAGACCACTATTGTGAAAATAGGAAAACTGAGCAAGATGTGTATAAATATTCCAGGCAGGGGAATGGAAAAGAGGTAAAGGGAGATGATCACTGGGACAGTGGAGGAGGGGAAGGTGTGGAAGGGACAGGATTTGGTTTCTGTGGGGACTTGGCAGGATGGAGTGATAATACACATGGTTAGGTTAACTGTAGAAAGTACAGTGTGTATGAGGGATTGTGTGGGGCACAATTTGCATGGATAAAGCACAGTGTGCATGGGTGGCTATATGCAAATCAATAAAAAAATGGAGAGGGAAGAAAAAAAATACATATGATATAAATGAACACTGGATACTGATAATTGGGATAGTGTGTAATTCCAACTTTGGCCAGTACTTGATTGGAAGTACTAAAAGGGAAGATCTGCCCTGGAGAGAAGTTTGTTAAAAGTAGAATTTAGTAGTAGGTGCTGGGGCTTAGTCTAGGGGAAAGCTTAAGACCCACCCAGTACTCTGAGATTTGCATTTGAATGGAGTTGTAGACCCACCTTGGACTTTTAATTGAAGAAATTCACATTTGAAAGAAAGGCAAGCAGGAAGAGAAAGAAAAAAAAAACAAACAGATGTTGAATTTCACTAAATGCCTTTTTTGAATTTCTGGAGATGAGCATGTGTTTTTTTTTTCTTCTTTGTCTTCTAGTAAGATAGGTAATAAACATCCTAATGTACACCATCTTTACAGTACTCTGAGATAGCATATTTCACATTTGAGAATGGCAAAGATAAACATTCTGATAATGTTCATAAATATTCTGTCAGTGTAGTAGTAGATCCATTCTTATATACTGTTGGTGAATGAATAAACTTCTGTAATTCCACTGGAGAAAAACTCAAAATTCAAGCTCATTGCTGGTAAGTCATAATGGACTCAGAGGTGACCCTCCAGAGGGTTTTTGGAGGCTGTGATCAAAAGAATGGGAGCAGACTGTCCATCTTTCTCCTGGGAGCCGCTGGTGGAGTCGTGGATTCAGACCACCAGAGAGGTGCCACCTGAGGGTCAGTAGTGCAATTTCCTATGCTTCATGCCATCAGAGCTCTACTTTTGGAGGAAAAGTAAGTAAGATATACTATAATTTCAAATGCATATAAATGGGTTGCTTATAATAGCAAAAATTTGGAAATAATCCAAGTGTTTATCAATAGTAGCTAGTTAAAGAAATAATGATAAACTCATGCACAAATCAATAAAACACAGACATCTCTCTGGTATTTTCTGGTTTCAGCCAGGATCCATCTGATTTCATCAGTCATATCCCTCATGGCTTCTTCTGTGCAAGTCCACGTAATACTATTTAGCTATAAAATGATACTATTTCACATCATACATCTATTACATTCGGTATAATTTCAAATTATACTACTCAGCTATAAAAAAAGAATATATAAAGTGATAGACAAAGCTTTCCAAGATAATATAACTGGAAAAAAAATTTGATTAATGCATATGTTATCCATCTTTCGTGCAAGAACAAAGGGAAATACACTTGCTTATATTTATAAAAAGACATTCTAAAAGGATACATAATAAACAATGGAAAGTTATTAACACGCTAGCTTGTACGTATATATAGAAGTGAGAGCCAGGTCAAAGGGAGAGTAAATTATTACATATTTATATATTTTAAATTTTTTAATCTGTTAATCTATTACAAATATAAAAAACTGTAATTTTTAGAAAGAATGTACACATAACCTATAATCCATAAATTTCACTCCGAAAATTTATACTATGAACAACATTGAACATATAGGCAAAGACAGTGTTTCTACTCGCAAGAGCAAACAAAACCTAAATGTCATTGGAAATATTCAATACATTATGCAAAGTAAGAACCTTAAAAAGAAATGGTGACATTTTCTTTCTTGAACTGGGCTGTGGGAATATAGTTCTCTATTCTGGCAAAGGTCTTTTATATTTTTTAATAAAAGCAATTTAAAAACTATAAGCATCCCGTCAGTGGATATATACAACTGTGCAAAAGAATCTAGTAGATGCACGTGCTGATGTGTGATGATCTCTGTAACGTGTTGGTCAGTATAGGAATCAAGGGATAGAAGATACATTCAATTACCTACTCTGTGTGTTGGTGTATACATGGAAATTTCTAGAAGGACTCAAGAAGCTAGTAATAGTACATAAATCTGAGGGGCAAAATGAGAAGTTTGAAATAGACATAGACTTCTCATTGTATACTACTTTGCTCAGTTTGAATGGTTTTCTATATAGAGATGGAACCCTGGGGGTGTGCTGTGTAGGATGTTAGTTGTTCCTCTGGACAAAGGTGGGAAATCTCTTCCCATAAAGAGTTATAGCCTTGGGAACCCAATGGAGGGTTGCTTTAAGTTGGATATCAACTTGACACTAGGGTGTATACATATATGTATATATTTTAAGGTTACAATTAGAAGGACTAATTTTCACTGGAAGAGGGATTGCAGTCACAAGGTGACGGATCTAACACCTTCAGGCAGCTTGGAGACAGGATTGAGATGGGCTTCCCTGAACTTGTCTCTCCTGTCCTTAATAGCTAGGGTATTCTCTTTATCCCTGGGAGACTGGATGTCCCCAACCTGTGACACATGGCTATAGCCAAGATTAGGGCACTCACTTGGGCTCATGAGGTGGTCCAGACTGGTCAACCAACTTGAACTCGGCAGCAAAGCCGTGAGAGCGGGCGTATTCTAACAGGCCGCCCACAGGGTTGGTGTTCAAGTATCTGACGAGCTCACAGACTCTTCTGACCTTGGGTGCTCCAGCTTCTTCTGAGTTGTCAGGTGATTCTGAGTTTGTACCCTCGGCCTGAGGAAGAATCAGCCAAACAATGAGGAACCATGAACACTACAGGAGACTGGGCTGGACCTAGACCTTGGCCACTCAGTTGCTAAAATGGACCTACATCTTTTGAGCGGGAAAGTGACCTCACCTGCTCATCAGAAGATGTGGAGTTGGCAGCCTCCTCCTGGAGGGCCTTCATGGCTTCCTCTGCAGCCATCTGCTTTGCCACTTTTTTGCTGGGAGCACTGACAGTAGGGAAAGTATGGGGTCCCACTGCAACACAGTACTGGTATCTAACAGTGGGGAAAGGGCAGTAGATGGATTAGAATGGTTTTGATAGGAGGTTAACTAGACTTTGTCAGCCTGTCATCCTGCTTTAATTTCCTTGCACACCTTACGTCTGTGCCCTGACTCATGCAGCCACTTCTACCGTGAACAGCCAGTGTCCTCCAGCTCTTTGCTCCCCATCTCTATCGGCCAGGCTAACTCCAGCTCAACATTTAAGCATCAACCTCATTTAACCTTCCCCAGGAATCCTCTGCAGAACCTCAGAGTAAAGAGCTGCTCAGGATGTGCAGGGCTTTGCAATCTGCAAGCTGTGAACCTCTCTGGGGCTTGGTCCCTACATTCCTCAGCTCACAATTTCTACCCTCGCTACAACAAACCGTGCTCTCAAGGCCTCTTATTTTCCCATATTGAAAATAGTGACATACTCTGCCATCTCTGAGGAAGCAGGGAGGAAGTGTGCCTCACTGCTACCTCCTCATCCCTACCTCCTTTTAAAGGAAACCACAGCAGAGGTGGATGATACAAGAGACGTACTTGGGTTCATGGGCAGGGCCTTCCCTGGACAGGAGGCGGAATTCACAAGAGCTCCCCAACTTGTGCACACATTCAAGCAGTGTAGTGACTGGGCTCTTTCCAGAAATAAGAGATATCGATGAAGTGGTAGTGGGCTGGGTTTCAGCAGTCTGAAACAAATGAGAGGTGAGAAGAAAACAAAAATAAAAACTAATCAATTCTAAGAAACCATGGGCTAGTCCACAATGGAGGGGACAGAATGGGGAGAATTTCCTCCATCCAACTGAATGTTGCCTTTCCAAAGGAAGAGGAGATGTTGGATGGGTTTTTTAGTTACTGCAGGCAAAGGTTAAACTATCTAAAATTTCCAGATCTCCAGTCTTATCTAAGAAAAGACTTTTACATCCCTTCCAATTTTAAAATTCTTGCATTCCAGCTAGACTAGGAGATGAGTGTAGAAAGTGGGAAGATAAGCAGCTGATCCCAGATATTTTATCAGTTGTTTAGGTCAATTAAAATTTCCGATACTTCACAAACACTGAAACTGAAATGATACTCTTCCTTCCAGAAGGCAGGGCACCTACCTTTTCAGGTTCTTTCTCTGGGGAACTTTGGCTTGGTTCCTCGGATTTCCCACTGTCCTTGGCTTTACCTTCCTCAAGCAGAATGGTCATGGCCTTCATAGCTGCATCCTGTTTCGCCACTTTCTTGCTGCCAGCTTCCGCTGGGGGGAATTCTCGGCCACTGATGACAACTTGAAATTTAAATCTTGATGGAAAATGGTTAGATGTATGAACACTAGTCTAGGCTGCCCTTCCTCCCCATCTCCAGAGGGATCTTAACCCTGACATTTTTTGCTACAGTTATGAGTTTCTGAGTTACTGAGAAGGGACAGCCAAGGAATTCAACTCTTTGAACATTCAGCCTGTCCCTTCCTGAGGAAAATAAATAACCAGTGACTCTTTCCCAATGACTGATTGGAACAAACAGGCTCAAGGGAACTATCTATCTCCTAGCAAGAAATTAAGATAGTCTATACAACAACCAATGAGCTAAAATCACCAGTACAATACTGTTAACAGCCAGTAGCCTTCATCCTTAAGCAATTGTGGTCACCTCAAGGGAAATTCCTAAGGCAAAGATTTCTCACATCAGTTTGCTTGGCTCCACAATCAACACTCTTGGTACCAGCAGCAAGGAAATTAAAAGACTAATTGCATTGGGAAAGTCTGTTGTTAGAGAACTCTCCAAAGTACTGAAGAGCAACAATGTCAGCCTGGAGACTAAGGTGCACCTGATTCAGGCTATAGTCTTTGCAATTACTTGATATGCGTCACAAACGTGGACAATGACTAGGGATGATAGAAGGAGA